GTGTAGTAGTTAAAGTGTCTGACTGCTAACTCAAAAGTCAGCGGTTCAAACCTACCAGCTGCTCCCAGGATGAAAGATGTGGCAGTCTGCTTCAGTAAAGAGTTTCAGTCTTGGAAACCCTACAGGGCAGTTCTAATCTGTCCTGTAGGGTTGCTATGATTCAGAACTGACTCGACAGCAATGAGTTTTAGGTAAGTTTATTTACAAATTGGTTTCATAACTTCATGTAAAAATAAAAATTGAAATGAAAGATACAAATAAATAAATGTATTTACTGTTCCCCGGAGTGGGAAAGACACAGTGAAATTCTAACAGCTCACTTCAAAATGATAACCAACATTTGAGGAGCTCAGGGACCTGACAGGGCTACTTGAAATAACTGCACTTTTCTGGCCAGGCTTCTACCAGAAAACAATGAGGAAAGAATGTTAAGTAGGAAATCTCCTTTGGTCTGGTAAAATCAGACTTGCTTTTATGCAAAACATCCTAACAAGGAAGAAACCCAACTGTTAAATGTGTGGGTTTCTACACTCAGATCTCTCTCAGGTTTAGGCCTTGGTTCTTGACGGCATTCACACACTGCACTGCTCATCAGCTAGCTTCATCTGATGTGAATTCTCTCACTTTGGCATCTATTTCACATATACGATAAACCCACTACCATCAAGTCCATTCCGACTCATGAACAACCCTATAGGACAAAGTGGAACTGCCCCACAGGGTTTCCAGGGCTGCAAACCTTTCAGGAAGAAGCCTGCCACATCATTCTCCCGCTGCTTCCACGTTCTTCGCCGGTGGAAAGGAGGATGGTTCACATAGCAGCTGAGCGCTTAACCACTGCGGCACTAAGCCCTTTACCCATGACCTGACCCACAGCGACCCCAGCAGGTTTCCCAGGCAGTCAATCTTTACAGAAGTAGACTGCCCCCTCTTCCTTCTGCACACCAACGACAGTTTCCCCTATTTGGGGATATGAAATGGCATGGCATTTCTACTGTCTCTATCCCGCAAGCCTAAAACTGTCTGTCTGCTTTTTGCTCATCCTTTCATCCTCATCCACCCGGATAAAATCTGAGTTTCTAAACACACAAAGTCCTTCATGTACTGGCCCTTCAAGAACCACAGAGACACCCAGTGAGTAGTTCAATATGACTGTTGCAAAGTGTAAGGGAATACGCGCCTTCCATCCACCTTCTCCTGCCTCCCTTCCCCATACCTATTTGCACAACCACACTGAACTACTACTCACTGGTTAACTCTGGGGTCTCAATACACGGTTCGGATCCTCGACACCACCTAACCCTACGACCCGGTGTGTGGCCTTCATTAAGCACAGACTGAACACTAAGTGCAACGATCTGAAGAAAGACAAAAACCAAACCAAACTCACTGCCGTGGAGCCAGATCCGACTCATAGCGACCCCTCCTTGGGTTTCCGAGGCGGTATCACTACGGAAGTAGATTGTCCAACCTGTCTTCCTAGGAGCGGCTGGTGGGTTTGAACCGCCGGCCTTCTGGTTAGCAGTCAGGTGCCTTAGGCACTATGCTACCAGGCAGGGCTGAGAATCGCTGCCTTCAAGAACACCACACCGCAAAGGAAGAGCAGATGGAGGAGCACAGGGCAGCCACTGCCACTTAAAGGTCCAGACGCGAGAAGGGACTCACAGCCAAGCATCCGAACCTCTAAAACCAACACCTTCCACCATGGATTCATTCAACCCATTTGCTTTCAGCGGTAAAGCAAAGGAATTCGGAGGATGGGTAAGGGCGCAGCTGGAGGAGCGCGCGTCTTCTCCCGCCCGAGCCCCCAACGACCGCCGGCGGAGCACTGAACAAGCCTGCAGAACGGTAGCTTCAGGCTCGAGGAAGGTGGTCTCCGCCATATCAACGCCACATTCCACTCTCGGTTCTTTCAGCGCTCGGGAGTCACCTTCATTAAGACACCCCCTGGCGGGCAGGGCCCGAGTCCCCTGCCCCAAACCTGGGTGGGTCGCAACAACGCTCACCTGCGCCGCACTCTAAGAGCCTAGCCTCCCTGGCCACGCGCAGCCGGCCTAACGAGATTCCGCCGAAATTGCACACCCGTCTCGTTCAGTGCACGGCTCCTTTCAGGGCGCACCCTGGGCCTTCGGGCGGCCACTGCGCCCCGAGGTTCTACTCTCAAACCTTCGGGATCTACGTCTGAAACCAAGCGTAGAGGCTGCTGGTGCGAAAAGTGAAGCGCGAGCAAAGCACACCAGGCACGCGCCGTACGCCGCAGGAGCTGACGTCAGCGAGGCCGGAGTAGGCGTGGCCGGGGAGGAGGCACTCCCATAGACAGTTCTCGGTGGTCGGTCTTCTCTGTAGCCCTAGGATGGCAGAGGCGCTTCTCTGGACGCCGACTTCCGCCCCATAAGGCTCCCACCCTAATGTATTTGAGCCTCGCTTTGACCACGGACTTCAAAATTCAGTTATTCATGACGATGGGAGGGGCCTGGGCCCAAGAGAGCAGCACGCGTGCGCGCGACGCAGGCTGCGCGCCGGAAGAACGCCTGCACGGGGTCTGCAGAAAGGAAGCGCTCAGGCCGGGGAGGGCGGGGGATAGCCACGCTGGAAATCGCCATGGCTACGGAACCGGCTGCCCCCCAGCCGTCTGTACCATCGCTCGTCGACCGTTACTTCACTCGCTGGTACAAGGCGGGTAAGTGCGGAGGTGTACTTGTATAATTAAGAGTAAAAATATTGCAGGGAACGATTTGGGGCTGGTGTGTGCAGAGGGTGGGTTGCTTGCGGAAAGCTGAGTAATCTAAAGGTGACGGCGAGTTAGGCAGGGGCAGTATTGCACAGTCCTTGAATGCCTGGCTAAATTTAAGGTCTAATTGTATGCATATCATATCCTTAGCCATATAGATAGTGGCGATGCATTAAAGCATTTAAACGATCACATTGTAGTAACTAAGAGGCAGTAGGGATGGAAAGAGGAGGATGGAATGAAGGCGTTTAGAAAGCATCTTTTACTTAAGAGTTCCCCGGTGTTCCCCATTGGGCACTTCTAGGTGTGCTGTTGTACGGTTTGTGTACTACCGGCGGTGGCATCTCTAGGCAGCGTCCTCTCTCTCACCTTCCTTCCTCTCGTTCAGGGGCAATAAGTGTGCTCACGTAAGTGAGGTTAAAGCAGGCTGTAGCAAGGAATTCTCACCTTAGCTTTGAGTGAATAAGTCTGGGTCAGGTCCTTTTAGGTAGTTTATGGGAAGCCTTTGGTTTATTATTTTTGAGTAATGGAGGGATACCAGGGATCAGTGTATATCCATCCAGTCCTCACCATTACTGTAGCTCTTTGAACCAAAGAAGCCGTATGCTGGCTGCATGCATTGCAAAACGGCTAGAAAATCTTTTTAATTGAAAACTTTTCGTGCTCTTGAGTGTGTCTGTGTGTACATATAGCCTCAGAGCAAGAATGCTAACATTGACTCAGTAACCCACAGCCACATTTCACCTTCTAGATGTCAAAGGGAAACCCTGTGAGGACCACTGCATATTGCAGCACTCTAACAGGTAAGCAGACTGGGAATTTAAAATGACCAGAACCTTACATTTGTTTTGACTTATCCTGCTATCCTAACGTGGTATAGTCTTGAACGAGTGTCCATTGAATGATTATCTTCCACTATGTTGAAATGGTATTACAGAAGTATAGTTGACAAGAATTTGTTTTCCACTGCCTAGTCACTCTGAACACATAAACCTGATTACCCAGATGGCCAAGTGGGGGAAGTGCAACCTCACTCAGCTGCTGCTTTTAAGTCGGCAGCCTGTGCCTAACCACTGAATTGCCACGGCCCAGAGAGAGGCGTGTGTTGTCTCCTGTACATACAGGCATATGCCTGCGTTCTCTCCCCTCTGCACCAGTGCCCCTGAAAGGCCCCTGCTATCCTACCCTGGGAAGGAAAGTCAGTCTTGTTCTCTTTTGTTAATGCATTCCCCATTCTACAGTTTTGCCCCCAGAATAGCTAAGAATGAGGGGAAGTAATCTGACTAAACAAATACCAGTCGCCTTGTGCAAGTAGGAAAACTGTGTTACAGGAGAAGAATAACATGGGATCCATTTCTGCTCCTTGTAGAATCTGTGTCATCACACTGGCAGGATCCCATCCAGTTCTTCAAAGTGGAAAAACCATTCAAAGCATATCCTATCAGATCAGTACCAACTGTAGCAGACTTCAGAACAAGGTCTCTGGGAAATTTAAGCGGGTATGTTCCTGTAATTCTGTGGTTACTTACTTAAACCCTCTACGTGCATGGTAACAAGGATCCAGACAGTCGGGGGGTATATACTCGGCATCCTCCCCTGGCTTATTCTGAGGCACTAATTTCAAGTATCCTTTTACCCTAAAGAGATTCTTTGACCAAAAAATGCAGTATTTCAGGCAGCACAGTGTTGTCCTCGTAGGGTCTGTGCCACCAGCTCTCTCTGTTACCCCATGAGAAGGAAAGGGGAAGGTATGCACTTGAAAGGACATCACTAATAAAGAGACTTGTTGTCCCTTCTAGTTTTCAGGTCTGTTGATTTGATTATAAAATCAGTATTTCAAGTTCTATAAAATTGAAATGACCAACTTTTCTTTACCTTCTATTTGTACACGGAAATTAAAAACAAACAAAAAATATACACACATAACATGTATATATCCTGTTATATAAAAAAATATAGAATAAATCTGAGAAAATGTTTGTTCCTTGACATTTTTCCATTTTTCAGTAATTGCCAGTCTACACTCCACCTCCATGTAATGCTCAGTGTGCAAAATGCTCTCTCTACAATTCTAGGCAAAAAGACACATTTTATTAAAAGAGTGTCACAGCAAGGAAAATTTAGTAACTAACTACATACTGAAGCCACCACAGAGGAGTTAATTTTTTATTAGATCTCAGCACTGTCAATCCTTTATTCTTTGAGAGGAGGTGATAAAAAGGGGTCAAAGTGTTTCTGCTGCTTGGACACCAAGCAGTTGGAGACGAGCCCTCTAAGACAGTCCCCTACCTCCTCTCCGGTACTGACTCCAGGATTTTGAATGAAGTTGGCAGGGGAGCGAAGCCAACGTGGTACTGTCTGAATGCAGTTTCACATGATGAGGATGATGTTAGGCGCCGTCATGTCGGCTCCGGCTCGTAGCGACCCCATGTGTTGTATTGACTGATAAACAGAAGCCCCCTGGTTCCCTGGTTATAGAGAGCAGCATCTTGACTTGTAGGGCCTGTGTTCACTCCAAGAAAAATTTCTGGGAGCAAGAGGACAGCAGATGGGCTAGAGCTGCCTCGGTTTCCTATGCGCTTCCTTGTGGAGGCTCGTCAGAGCTTCCTCATATACGTCTGTGTAGTGGAGTACAGGAAACAGCAACCACGCCATCACATTCCAACAGAAACACGTCAGCATGTAATACTTCTTCTGGGTGATAGGATGATGAGCAAATTATTTTACCACTTAAAAACTTTTCTGTGTTTTCAAAATCTTCCTCAAAGTGCATTTTGTTTTAAATCAGAAAAACCTTCAGAAATTCTTACTGGTTGACCCTGATAATGTCCCTTTAGCTGTTAAGTTCTAATATAAAAATTAGGCTGGAATCTTAATGAAACTGACTTCGTACAGTATTGTCGTCATACTCCATCACATTGCATTATATATTATTGCTTATTGATTAATTTTCCTGACTTGAAATCTCTCTCCATGGCTGTATTTAGCTTTCTGGTCACAGTTGACAGGTTATGT